GGTACGCTGTAAATACGTAATTACAAGTTAGATGTATGTCTGATATAAGATACTTAGCCAACATTAACTTCAGGTGAGTGTTATTTTTGTCCTGTTATTTGTACATTTGTTCGTTTAGGCTGCTCCTGCTTTGCTGGGACTTTGTTAGCAAACCTCAGCGTAATGGAACGTTACAGTGTATGAAGTGAACAGAGTGAAGTATCGTGATGGGATATATTTTTTTGTCTTATTAACCGCTCTCGTCTTAAACTACACGAATCTGAAAGAGGCCTCTTCTGGGTCTGAGAGGCGGTGCTTGAGGTCCGTTAGGCGTCCGAGACGACGGAGACGTTAGCGTTCCTGTTTACACGGCGAGTTTAAATGTGACACAAACCAGCAATTCACAGGTGACGTTTTTGTCTGCGCCCAGCCCGCTCCCCTATTCTTCCGTTCTCCCACATTTCCACAGCGCATGATGTCACTTTTTCTTTGCGGCCCATGCGCCAAGACGTAAATAGTTTCCACTCGCCTCCTGCAAACACATCGTTAAAGAGCACGAACACGGCGGCGTAAACAAGACGCATAACGTTTCGTTTAGCACAGATGTTGGCGAATGGGAAATATTTCGCTTGGGGTGGGGTTTTTTTGCTCCTCTGTTGCCTTGTGGAAGGATCCAGAACTCGCATTTTAAACGGAGACGGAACAGTGAAGCCGAACACGATGAGGTCATGACCCCGAATTTAAATCATAAACTAAAGTCAAAACTCTTCTGCCTCTTAACCTCCGATTTTATTTTTCACATTCAGTGTGTGACTGAAGAGAAAACGGGGTGTTTGGAGGGTTTTTTTTGTTGTTTTTTTTGTGCATGAGATCACACCACACTGACTACAGCGACTGTATGCAAATATAACACACACACACACACACACACACACACACACACTCCTTCACGCACCATTAACACTCATCCTTTCCGGTTCTTGTGTGACGAGTAAGGAAGGAACACAGAGTGAAAACCTGTCGAGCTCGTTGTGTCTGCACTTTTTTAATGTTTGTCATGTTTTATATACAGCCTGAGAGGATACACACACACACATACGCGCACACACACATAAACACACACCCACACATAAATACACACCCACACATACATAAACACACACACAAACACATAAACACAAACGCATACGCGCATAACACCACACACAAACGCATACGCGCGCACACACACACACACTCGCACTATTTACCATCCATTTTCTACCGCTTATTCCTTCTTCAGGGTCGCGGGGAACCCGGAGTCTATCCCAGGGAGCATCGGGCACGAGGCGGGGTACACCCTGGACAGGGTACCAGTCCATCACAGACACTATGACACTTACAAAGACACACGTGTGTGTGTGTGTGTGTGTGTGTGTGTGTGTGAGAGAGAGAGAGAGAGAGAAGAGAGAGAGATACTCGCCAGTGTACACACTCCAAAAAGCACATTAGTGAAAGATTTACACATGGCTTGGCGCTGTAGAACACAGGAAAAAAAAAGAGTGCAGAGATTTCCTTTAGAGAAACTAAAAATATTCTCCGGCTCTTTCTGAAATCGGAATAAATACCCGGACACCGCGCTCTGTTTAACGTGCACTTGAGATGGGGAAGAGTTTTCAGAGTGAATTAAGGTGAGGAGAGTGAGAGAGAGAGAGAGAGAGAGAGAGAGAGAGTGTAACACTCACCAGCTGAAACAGTGGCTGCATTCAGAGATGGATGGACTTTATGCTGCTCTTACACACCATTAAACACTCTTAACCACCAGAGCCTGTCCTGGAGTAAACGGAGCGAAACCACAACACACACCTCCTTCCTGCTCCGATTCTGCACGGAATAAGTTCATAACAACGATCAAATCCCTGAGTTGTAGAGAAACCCAGAAATGCGTTATGCTATAGTAATACACCATGACACCGTTAAAGTCACGCTGTGTAACAACATCAACAATAAAAAAAAAAAACTTTAAGCAGTAGAAAGAGAAGAGTAACATTCCGAGTATTACTGGGCATATGACAAATATACCGTATCACGATTGCGATCTGAGTGATTTTGACCGTGGCGTGTTGCCAGACGTCCTGGTTTGATGATAACTGCTGATCTCCACTCAACTTTCACTCAGAACGGTGCAATAAAGAGAAAACATCCAGTGCGCGGCGGTTCTGCACACGCGGACGCCTTGTTGACGCGAGAGGGTCGACGGAGAAAGGCCAGACTGGTTCGAGCTGGCAGAAAGGCTACAGTAACTCAGATAACTGACCTCCTGTGGTATGCAGGAAAGCATCTAATGATAATGAGTCGTTATTGATCACATATACATTCCCGCACAGCGAACCTGGCTTCATGAACACGACAGTGAGTTCAGTGTTCTTCAGCCATGTTCTTCAATCTCGAAGGAATGTCTCCCAACACCTTGTGGAATCCATGCCACGAAGAAGAATTGAGACCGCAAACGCAGGCCCTACCCAGTGTTAGTGTAGTGTCCCTAATAAAGTGCTCAGTTCTGTACAGTAGTATTTATTTTTCTTGGTTTAAACTTCATTAACCAACAGAAATAAATCCCAAGTGCACTGTATGAATATGCAAATTGAAACAAAAAATCCCCCCCCCCACTACTATATGCCCCGCCCACTTTCCTTATAAACATGATGGTGTTACATGATTTGAATACTGGAACCTTAACTCCTATAAGGTCGGAAGGTGTTGATTCATTTTCTATAACAGCAGCTCCTGGCAGTAGAGCGTGCAATCATTGATGTTGCGTAGTCTCCAGTGGTGGCGGTTCATCCGCCATTTAGATCAGCCACTCAGCAAGTCATCATAAAGTCCATCGAAATAATACTAATGAGCTCTTCAGAGTAGATTACCAACATGAATTACCAACAATTAAAAAGAAGCAATATTACTATCTGAGATATAAGTTGATGTTCTGTTGATCCGCTTGTCTTCCTAGACGTCCACGAGTGTGCTCATAGTTATTATTGCACCTAGTGGTCAGAAATGGGAACTGCAACTCCAACAATACAGCTCCGTTGGGGCAGGATTCACACTTTGATACTTTTTTTTTTCTTTTTTTTTTATACTTTTGATACCTATCAAGCCTGCGTAACGATATCACGACTTCACACCCGAAAACCGAACGGAAACTGTAACAAAACATACCGTTGTTCACGCCCAGAAAGCGTGTTTCATCGGTGTTACGGGTACGAAAGCGAGACATGCCACATGATGATGTATATAAAGACGGTGGCGCTCTTCCGGATGCTGTCTGTAATGTTATTCTCTCTTATACAGTGGTATTTTGGTAATGGCGACAGCGTCGACACTGTTGTCACGTCGGTTTATAGTTCTGAGAGCGCTGTGTAAGCAATAAAGGAAAGCTGTTACACCTGTGTGCACCATTTAGGAAGATTTATTACCCCTCTCTTACAGCTTTTAAAAAGGTGATGGAAGAAAGGTGGCTTTTCTTTTTTTCCTTCTCTTCTCTTCTCTTCTCTTTCTCCGTGGCACTCTGCGCTGTGTTTCCATTCTGCCAGCTCGGAGTGACACCGAACCGAAATGTCAAGAGTTTGGAAAGAAAACAAAAAGGAAGGACAGAAAGAGGTCTGTTCATCATTGGGGCCATTGTCTGGAAGCTGAAAGCTCTCAGAGTGCATTTACAACACACACACACGCACAGAGAGAGTTCAGGGCACTCGCAGGCTCTGTTTTAATTTGATATAGATAGCTGTAGACACGATGTTTTGTATGTGTATGTAATTAGGAAATAGTTTAGGTCAACAGTTTCTACATTCTCCGCATTTCGTTTGCGTCTCTCCCAGACTCTCAATCTCTACATCTGGCAATCTGAACTTCCTGCTGTTTATTTGTGCCTGTCTTTTCTTTACAGGCAGTATGACAGCGAACATCACTGGAGGGGAAACACACACACACACACACACACACACACACACTGCCATCTGATTTTCTCATGGTTTACATGACTGGAACAGCTGTACTGATCACGTTTACATTCACGTTTATTCGCTTGGCAGATGCTTTTATTCCAAGTGACTTACAAGTGAGGCACAATCCAGTCCAGCTGTTTAAATAGCGTGGTGCCATGTACGAGGCTGAATTTGTGCCAGAAGATGAAGATAAATAAAGGAGCACTAAGAGCGAGCGTGAATAATACGTCCCTGAAAAGTCAGTCGAAGTAAATAGTACCGGAACACGGAAAAGACCAAACAAAGGGAAAAAAAACAAAACAAAAACGAAACACAGGAATGAATGATTGCAGTTTTCCGAAACCCAGTTAGTCCTTATTGCGTAGCCGCTACGTATAGTGTAGTTTAATATAGGAGAATAGAATGGTAGAGCGCTACGCATTAGCTTTGATACGGATGCTGTGGCCATGTTTTCAGATCATTATACCGCACATCTCGCCTTTACTGTTTTCGATATGAAAACGAGTACAGATCGTTACCCATATTAGCATTAGCAGAGATATGATATCTAACAACGGCTATATGAGGCGGCTGTGGCTCAGGTAGTAGAGCAGGTTGTTTGCTAATCGCACTGTTGGCAGTTCGATCCTCTTCACGTGCCAGAGTGACCTTGGGCAAGACACTGAACCCCAAAGGCTAGTGCCTTGCATGGCAGCTCTACTGCTGTGTGAACGAGGGACAGTGTAGAGCGCTTTGTAGAACCACGAAGGTTAAAAGATATTATATGCGCAAATGAAAAAAAAAAAAAAAAAAACAACACCCAAATTTTTTGGAAAAAAAAAAAAAAAAATAGAGGCGACCACCAGGCCCACGGGGAACCTGAAGCCTATCCCAGGGGGCATGGGGTAGAAGGTAGGGTACACCCTGGACGGGGTGCCAATCTGTCGCAGGACACACACACATTCATACACTACGGACACTTTAGACACGCCAATCAGCCTACCGTGCATGTCTTTGGACTGGGGGAGGAAACCTGGAGTACCCGGAGGAAACACACACACACACAGGGTAGCGGCAGGAATCGAATCCCCGACCCTGGAGGTGTGAGGCGTACGTGCTAACCACTACACCACTGTGCGCCCCGGTGATAATACATGTTTATGATTAAGAGTAAGACACACAAATCAAGCCTGACCTTCTGTGGTTTCTTTACGGTAATGCAGTCTGATTTGCAACGTAATCCTACCGAGAGCGAGGTGGGAATACGCACTGAATGTGACACCGGAACATGTCACTACCCGGTGGCTGAGATTTTGATGTGTGTGTGTGTGTGTGTGTGTGTGTGTTACAGGTTGTGAGTGAACGTGGATCAGGATGAGTGACCAGTTTAACTGTGAGAACTGTAAGGAGTCTCTATACGGGAGAAAGTACATCCAGGTGGACGACGTCCCTCACTGCGTCCCTTGCTACGATCGTCTCTATGCCAACACCTGCCAGGGCTGCAAAGAGCTCATCGGACACAACTCACGGGTCAGTGTGTGTGTGTGTGTGTTTGGGTCAGTACAGCCTTGTGTTGATTTAATTCACACTTTGGAGGATTATGCCATGGCGTCATTATATAAACACAGTTTATCTTGTGCAGAGCTTCTGACTGTTAGGAATGCACTCGAGTACAATTAGACTCAAGTAACGCCAATAATTTATCATAACAACACAATAAATGTCTGTGTAAATGTATTTAATGCTTGTTTTAAACTTCATCAAATACATTTTACACTCACTGAAGATGAATAACAAATAACAAATTGGAAATTATTCTAGAAATGGAGCCGTAATGTTAATTCACCATTTTGTGATTGATTACAGTTGCCTTTTGAGTGGGAACTGTGGTCTGATTGGTTACATGGACATTAGTGGTGGATACTGTGGTCTGATTGGTTACAGTGACATTAGTGGTGGATACTGTGGTCTGATTGGTTACATGGACATTAGTGGTGGATACTGTGGTCTGATTGGTTACATGGACATTAGTGGTGGATACGGTGGTCTGATTGGTTACATGGACATTAGTGGTGGATACTGTGGTCTGATTGGTTACAGTGACATTAGTGGTGGATACTGTGGTCTGATTGGTTACATGGACATTAGTGGTGGATACTGTGGTCTGATTGGTTACATGGACATTAGTGGTGGATACTGTGGTCTGATTGGTTACATGGACATTAGTGGTGGATACGGTGGTCTGATTGGTTACATGGACATTAGTGGTGGATACTGTGGTCTGATTGGTTACATGGACATTAGTGGTGGATACTGTGGTCTGATTGGTTACATGGACATTAGTGGTGGATACTGATTAGGAGTTCTGATTGGTTACAGTGAATAAACTGCAGTGTAATTAGCTATAGTTACATTTTGGACTATACCCTTACCTTGAGCATTGTCTGCAAAAGAATTAGATGTTTAGACTAAGTATCATTTAAATCTTTCTTTGTCTTTCACTCTGGACCTCCTTGGTTGTTTAAGGGATGCTTCCCCTACCCCTCTCCTCCTATATTTCTGTAATAATTGTAAATGGAAAATTAGTCTTTGCTCTCAAACATTCTAAATAAAGCATTGTGCCTTCTGGGAGATGTGGTGAACCCATCTCACGATCACCCAACCAGCTGTGCGTACACAAACAAATACAAGATCTTTTAGAGGTAACACCTTTTTGTTGAATGTTCAGAGTGTTTCATGCAAACATGAAAACGTGGAACACGATCTATGTGTACACAACACTGGCTCTGGAGACATCTTTGTAGAGGGATGTCCACAGAAACACGGTGATCCACCATGCCACTGTCAGTTCTGCACTACGATGCCAGCGAGTGTGGATACAGTAGTGGATTTTGTAGTGTTACAAACCTGGAACTGAAATGGAGTTACTTTTTACCGGCTGATTTACCATTGAATAATTCTGACACAATGCTTAATAAATAAATAAATAAATAAATATAAAAAAAAGAATAAATTGGTTGGTTGCAAAAGTATTCACCCTCTGGATCAATATTTGATAGACCCACCTTTGTAAGTCTTCGTGGATGTGTCTTTATCAGCTGTGCACATCTGGATCCTGATCTTTTTTGCCCATTTTCTCTTGACAGAACTACTCAGGCTCTGTTAGATTGGACGAAGACCGTTGTCATGCGGTCTTGTTACAGCTTCTCAATCAGATTGAGGTCTGGGCTTTGACTGGTCCATTCAGGTACTTGGTTTTGAACCACTCCAGTGTAGTTTTGTCAGTATGATTAGAGCAGGGGTGTGCCAGTCGTATCCGGAAAGGGCCGGTGTGGGTGCAGGCTTTCATTCCAACCAAGCAGAAGCCACACCTGAGTCTACTGATTGACATCGCATTAAACAGGTGGAATCAGGTGTGGCTCCTGCTCGAGTTAAATGAAAAGCTGCATCCACACCGGCCCTTCGCGGAGAAGATTGGACACCCTGGTTTAGAGTCGCCGTCAAGTTGGAAAATTAAGCTTTGCCCCAGTATAAACTCTCTTGAAGGCCAGAACAGGTTTTCTTCTTTGTATTTGGTTCAATCCATCTTCAACCCTGACCAGTTTCTTAGTCCCTGCTGATGAAAAGAATCGCCATAACACGATGCCGCCGCCACCATGCTTCACTATGAGGATTGTGTTCTCAGAGTGATGAGCAGTATCGGGTTTATGCCAGATGTGGATCTCTCAGCTCCTAGGCCTCTTGGTTGCTTCTCTGACTAATCCCCCCTTTTAATTTTTGGTGGCAGTCTAATTTAGGTGTTTCACAACAACAGGGATCTATAGTTATGCAATCACATATGTTTTTTGTTATTTTTTATCTGTGAATAATTTCACAAACTATATTGATTTTCCCGTCACTTCAATGTAAAGGGTCATTATGTGTAGATTCATGACATATAGCCCATAATTCCAATTCAGTCGCAGGTTGTACCATTACAAAATGTGGAAAAGCTTAAGAGCTGGACCGAGAATCTCAAGAGGAACCAACACATCTCCACAGCCAAGCTGAGTTATACTTTTCAGTGGATTAGGGCTATAAGTGTGTTTTGTGTGTGTGTAGGAGTTGTACTACGATGACCACCACTACCACGAGGAGTGTTTCCACTGCTCCCGCTGCAATCGCTCGCTTGCCGATGAACCGTTCACCTGCCAGGATGAAGCTCTTCTGTGTAACGACTGCTACTGCAGCGAGTTCTCCTCCAAATGCGTGGCCTGCAACAAGATCTTCATGCCAGGTACGTAACGCAACAGCTGGACGGGTGGCTCATGCAGGGAGGTACCATTACAGATGGGGGACAGGGTAAAGATTCCGGGTGTTCTTTGATCAGAATACCGGTGGTTGGTGTTAAGTAAGTTCACCACGCAGACAGACAGATGAGGTATGAGGAGTTTCCATGACTCAGGTGGGACAGCGTGATTAGGACTGGATCGACTTGCAGAGCCACACTCGTCTGCCCACGGGGATCACATGACTCTCAACTGATACACGAACATGTAATGACTAGCATGACACATTAGCGAGAGAGACAGACAGACAGACTGGATGTCCTGTCTCTGTCCCATGTCTCAGGTACATACCTGTAAGCACATGAGTCATACTGCAGTTTCAGTTTCATCATTTCACACATACCCAGAGAAAAGTGTTCTGACTAACTGTCTGAGTACGTGTGTGTGACCGTCGTCTTTCTTTACATCTCATTCTAATACATGATATTTATTTGTCTTTCTATTTTATTTCTTTCGTTCTTACTCTGCTACACTGTCTATTGATTTCTTTCTTTTCAATTCTTTGAATCTTTCTTTTACTTCTTTTCTTTCTTTGTTTTGTTTTGTTTTTTGTTTCTTGCTATTTCTTGCTCTGCCCTTCTGTTTGGTTCTTTACTTTCTGGCTTTCTATTTTCTTTCCTTCTTTCCTTCTTTCTTTCCTTCTTTCTTTCTTTTATGACCTTTTTTCTGCGGTTTTATTTGATTATTTCCCTTTTCTATTTTTTTTCTCTCTTACCATTTTCATTCTTTCTTTCTTGTTCTATGTTTTCTTTTTTTTTCTTTCTTCCTCTTTTTTTGTTTATTTCTCTTTTACACTCACTAATCAGTAGATGCTTTATTCTGGTCAGGGCCACGGCGGATGCAGAGCCTGTCTCAGGATCACTGAGTGTGAGGCAGGAATACACCCTATCTATCTATGCATCCATCCATCCCTCCATCCATCCATCCATCCATCTATCTATCTATCTGCCCGGCTTTCTGTCTGTTTGTCTGTCTATCATCTTCAAAACCGAGTTATTGCTGTAAAGATAGAGATGATGATGATGATAGAAATGCATGGTGAAAATCAGGCGATCTGTTTGTGCAGTATTCAATAGCCATACATGGGCATGAACATCTACTATTACATCACTTCCTGTGTGAGAGGTGACACTCTCCAGAGCAGACTTTATCAGTGGAGTAAATACGAATGGAATGAGCAGGGCATGTATTTATAGAGGCTGGGCACATACTCCACCTTCTGTAGGTGTAAGATTCTTTATTACAGACAGAGAGTTCTTTATTGTTTTGACTTTCTTTCCGTCTTAAACATTAAAAAAAAAAGGCTATTATAATGTTAAAAAATATATTTTTTTCCCCTTTTTATAAAAAGATTTTTTATTTAAAAAAAAGATACTTTTCCATCTTTTTCAATAAATGTCAAATGTACCAGTTAGTATTAGTGATAAACTATCATTCTTTCTTTCTGAAAATGTTTTTCTCTTTCTCCCCGCCCCCCGTCTCAGGATTGAAAAAGTTGGAGTACGGTGGTTCTACCTGGCATGAGGAGTGTTTTGTGTGCTGTGTGTGCCAGCAGTCTCTGGGCTCGCAGTCATTTATCCCCGATAAGGATGAGTATTACTGTGTGCCCTGCTACGAGAGACGCTTCGCTCCCCGCTGCAGCCACTGCAAACAGGTCACACACACATACTCGCAGACACACACACACACCACACACACACACACACTTACACCTCCTTTTACATAAATACAACTATCTATCAGGTACCCATTCATTTACCAGCTATTTCTTACTCTGTGTGTGTGTGTTTCAGATCCTGCTGCAGGGCGGG